GGGTCTGTCCCGGTGCCCACCCACCCTGGGGAGGGGAGCTGTCCCCTGTCCCCCCCGGCCACGGGAACCCCGACACGACACAGACACCGCCTGGCAGAGTTTAATGGGGCAGCCCGAGCTACAAGTGACACCCACAGCACACGGCACGCAGCCCCCTCCCCAAAACAGCACACAGAGAGGGCGGGGGAGAGGGAGCCCCTCGGGACCCCCGAGCACAMAGAGACACAGCAAAAGCACACAGCGAGACCCTGGCTCGGCTCCGGGGGAACGGGGGGCTGGGGATCGGTGCTGCAGCCAAAATTCTGCAGGGAAAAGCACCCGAGAGTCCACCAGGGGAGGAGGGGACGCCCCCAGCCCCACAAACCTCGAGGCTGTGGGGAAGAATTGGGGCTGGGGGTGCCGAGAGGGGGAAGGGGCTGCTGGGTGCTCACTGTGGTCAAAGTGGGGCCACACTGGGAGCCCCCCGGTTCCTGTGCTGTCCAGGATGGTCAGGGTGAGGGGCTGCACCCTGCTCTGGGGGGCTGGGGGCACCTCCCCGGCTGGCAAAGGGGCTCCGTGCCGGGACACCCCCCCTTCCCGTCCATCCCTAACAACTCACAGGAAACAGCAGAACCAGGTGGGAAGCACCCACATGCAAACCCGGAGGGAGGGTCCACACCCCCTGCCCGGGAGGGGCGAGGCAAGGGGGGAGCTCTGGGGGTGCGGGGGGCGCTCCCCCCGAGCCGSCGGCACCCAGAACCTACTGATTGTCCTCTCTGGCAGCGTGCAAGGAAAGAGAGACGGGACACAACACCCCACGTTAGACACAGCGACCCCACAGACACGGGGAGAGCACAGAGCCCTCTGGCTCAGCTCTCAGGGGCACATTCGGGACCCTCCCGCTCCSCCCGGGGCTCGGAGCCAGGACAGGGACACACAGAGAGGGTGGCAGGACAGCCGGACAGCGCTGAGGGGACAGACACGGGGACACGAACCCCTCCCATCCCAAATCCCCGTGCGGGTGGGGACAGAGCCACGGGACAGCACAGACAGGACACCCCAGGGTGACCCCAGCCCGGATCCCGGGGGTGCGGGGCTCTTACAGCGTTTGGTAGGTGCTGTCCTTGGACTTGATGAATTTGATGATGAAGAAGGCGACGGCCTGGACGCAGAGCACCAGCACGATGCCCCCGATGAAACTGGCCGTGTCAAAGCCAGGAGGGCGGAACTCGGGGCTGCCCGTCAGCGGGGCCATGGTGGTGGTGGTCCCTGGGGGTTTGGGGATCCCTGAGTATYGATGTTCCCACCCAGAGAGGGGTTTGGGGTCCATGCAGACCCCGGTGGCCGCACTGGAGCAATGGCAGCTCCCAGTTTGGGGCTGGGATGTCCCCAGCAGTGCTGGGATGCTGGGACTGGCTCAGCCCCTTCCCGTGCCACAGCAGCTGGAGCTGCAGGAAAGGAGCCAGGGGCAAACAGATCCCGRTGGGATCAATAATTGAGCAGGTTCYGGGCTCCGGTTACCGCTGGAATGAGCACAGCGCTCTCCAGTTCCCCTTCCTGGAAGAGGCTCCTTCTCCCTCCCAGCCGGGCTGGGACCGGCAGTTCCCAGCAAGGAGGGAATGTGGGTTTGTTCTGGGCGGGCAGGAGTGCCCAGCGCCACCGGGCATTGCCCCGGGCAGAGAGAGGGCACAGGGACAGAGCTGTGACCCGGGACAGC